TCACAAGCTTAATTTTATTTTCAGTAAGTGAGGGGGAAAAACAAATCTTAAAATAAAAAGTCAGAAGCCTCTAGTACAATGGTTCTCAACCTTCCCAATGCCACGACCCTTTAATGCAGTTCCTCGTGTTGTGGCGACCCCCAACCATAAAATTATTTTCATTGCTACTTCATAACTTCAGTGAATATGTGTTTTCCGATTGTCTCAGGCAACCCCTGTTAAAGTGTTGTTCGACCTCCAAAAGGGTGGCGACCCACAGGTTGAAAACCGCTGCTCTAGTAGTAAGAAGTAACAGTTCTTTACACAACAACAACAAATAAATGGTAAAATAAAGTCAGAAGACCCTTTGTAAAGTTAAAAAGTCATAATTCTCAATAACAAAATATCAAATCAGAAGCAGGAACTCTTACCATGATCTGAGCCAAACAGAGAACAATAACATTGGATGACTTGCTGCTGGCAATTGCATAGAAAAACTGGAAAAAAAATAAAATTTAATATAAATTAAAAACAATGATTCTCAATGTGAATGTTAAGTAATGAAGATAACAACTATAAATATTTCTCTCTCGGCTTTTTTCAGCCACTTCTCCCCTCCAACTTTCCCACTGTCACGATGTACTCCAGTTTCCTCCTTCCCGTGACATGATCAAAGAATGTAGATTGTCTCCTTCTGATGTGGACAATCATTTCTCTTTGGGAGTTTCTTTCAAGACATCTTCATTATTTTTTTTTATCTGTCCAGGATAACCTCATAATTCGTCTATAAAACCATACCTCTGCAGCTTCCAAATGTTTCCCTAAACGCCCAACTTCACTTGTTGCTAAAGATGGGGGTGGAGAGCTTATGAGAGTGTCCTTAGTGCTGTGATGTTGATTCCTAATTCAACATTCAACTGTCCACGATTCAGTCCCGCATACCAGGATAGGATTGACACAGCTCTGGAGAATTTCCCTTTCTCATCTCAATTGACTACAAAGAATATTCTTCATTTTTTTTAGTAAAATGCTGTCTTTGCTTGAGCATTAAACTTCTTTAATGCATGCGGAGGTTATTCATGGGCGATTTCACAATAACTCAAGAATATCACAGATCAATAAGAAAAGTTCTCACCCTGGTCAATGTGATGAGGAACCCTCTGATGGACGTCACTATTATCACCCCAACAAGAAAGAAAGATATTTGCTGCGACCAAAATTTTATCTGAGGGAAAATAGATCATTGAAACATAACAATCATTTCACTGATAACAAACAAAATACTGTACCCTTGAACAGAGTTAAATCAAAAACGTAAAGGACCCTTTTTTTTTTTTTATACGTCAATGGTGCATCGGGCATATGAAAATAGAATATTTGTATAGACAAACTGGCACTGTGGGCGATGTGGTCAACACCAGTCAGAGTTAATATGTTTCCTTAAAAAATAATCACCTTCTTTCATGATTAAATTAAGCCTAAATAAAATTATTTTTTAATATCTTTCTGTCAGAAAACTTTATATAAGAAGGCCAGTGGCCTTGATGAAAGCTACTGTGTTCCAAATCTCCCTGTGTTCTATACAGTTTTGTTCAGACAAACTGGCAGGTCAGATGGCCCCACTGCTAGCAGCATATCTTGTGTTGGAGTGCATGCTCAGCATGTTCAGATGCCAAGCTGCAGGGACACATCTCCGCATATCAGATACAGAAAAATGTGAACATATGTTGGCAAAGTCCATTGTGCACTGTACTTAGTGGGAAAATGCAATGATTTTTCTTCTTCTTCGTGTTTATCGGCTGTAAATGGTTCTGGTTGTTCATGCACTTCTGGACCTTTTATCTTGTTCCAGAACCTGAGTTTTGTGTGCTTATCCATTTCACAGATCTTGCTTATTTGTATAACATAATATAACTCTTGACCCACTAGGGTTATGAAGGTGCATGGATGGAAGCAGTAGTACACAAAACCAACCATCTTTCTCTGTCTTTCACTTGTTGAACAAGGATATGATAACTTAGTCCTGTTAATTTCTTTGTTATTATTCCAGGTTCTTATCTGTCCCCCCCCCCTCCCCCCACCTTTTTAAAAACTATGTCATCAATGTTCCTTGAAGTATAGTTTTTGCAATCAAACCATGTCTCACCATGTGTCCGAATCAAGCTAGCTGGCAACGTTTCACCACTGCCAAAAGATGTTCCTGATGTCCTCCTTACTTTATCTCTTACATATCTGTTAGTTTTATGTTCTAGCTAATTCATAAAATGTGCCCATAGCGTATATAGGTTTAATTGTATGCAAACTGTTGGTTCCTTGCCACTCAGGCAAATGCACTCTGTCTTAGAAAGAAACATCACTAATTAGTAGACTTTTATGACACGCATGTTGGCGGCAGTGGGTCTATTTCCCCCCTCAACCCCCACTCAAACTGTGTGCCAGAAGCCACATGGGGAGCGGTGGTAGCACAGTGACTAGATGCTTGTCTGCCAACATCAAGGTCTTAGGTTCAAACCTGCATCTGCCAGGTTTCTATAACATTAGCTTGGCTTCCAGGTCAACCCAGCTTGAACTGGGAACCAGGTTATATCCTGGAAAGTAAAGGTGGCTGGCATGATGTTGACCACATCACCCATTGAATTCCAACTGATCTGTATACACAATAAATGTGTGTCTAGCACCATATGCTAGATGTACCACTGGTGTGGAAGTGTCCTGGACCTTTTCAAAACTGCTGCTATAACAGAACACCATTCATATTACTTCTTCTTTGCAAACTCCTAGAGAAAATTATGGTTATTCTTCCACTTCTGGACTTTGTGCACCCACTTCGATAGGAACAACCCTAATTAGTTGAGTTCTATGATATGCTTGTTTTTGGAAAAGGGGGGATGGGAGTGGTTCGATTCTTGGAGCCCTGGAAGGTATACTGGGAGCTCTCATTATAAACCAGAAAGACTCTCTTGTCTTTTGCTATATCTCTGCCTCATGCATTTCCATGCTAAAGGTGTCGTTAATGTTCTGTGTCCAGTTTCCTGTTGTTGTCTTTTCTTCCAAGAATCATATCTTCCATTACTACTGTTCTAAAGCCATAGTGATGATATAATATGGCACCCAAATATATATCTTCTGATGCATGACACCATTTATCAGTGTGTTTTTCTTCCAAAATCAAACTGTGTAAAATGACAGTACATCAAGCACACGATACTCACATCAAATTCAAAACCAAAGTATTTGACCGCAATCTCTATGCCTCTAGTGACTGGATCCACTTTTCCAACTCTGTCAAAGATAATGTTGATGGTTGCCTGTAAACAACACCTTTGTGTTAGTTGCTGTCCGTAAGAGGAACTGGGAGAGGGAAGAAAGTAGTGAGGGATAGAAAATAATAAGGGAAATAAAGAAGGAAAACAGAATAACAGGTAACAGAAAGAAAAGAACTAGAGGAATTCAAGGGAAAGGCAAGATGGACACACAATCAGCCTCCAATTGGCATGATTTCAATTGGAACTGGGGTGACTGCCAGAGTGAAAAAGTGAATGGTAACTTTATAGCTTTACATAAGAATAAGTGGTGTACAACCTTATACAAAATATTTTCTTTGGAAAAACTTGATACTCTCTCCTGATCTTTGGGAGAAAATCATATGCATGATCTTCTCAAACAGAAGTTAAAAAATAGCTGTGCACCTAAGAATTTTTTGCATGCAAATAAAGATCCTAAAGATGAAGCCATCAGGCCACTGTTCAAGTAAACATTCTCAATAAACAACTAACTCGTTTAGAAGGACAGTTAAAGATAAACCAGACTATGCAGAAATGTCCTTTTGGGATCAAATTAGTTAATCTCTTGAAATAGTTCTCCCCCCATCCCCACACCCACCTCAATTTGTTTTCTAGATTTTTGAATGCACCCAGAAAATTTTTTTCTGGGGTCCCTGTGTGGGTCCTGGGACCCCATTTTTGGGGTGGGTGTAGTGTGTGTGTGTGTGTGTGGGGGGGGGGGGGGGGGGGAATTGACATCCGCTACCCTAACAAACATGTTGTAAAAGGTGACAAATTAGGGGTGTTGCCTTCAAAGTCAGAGTGCATCTACTGGAGAGGCAAGGAACCAAAAGTCTGCACACAAAAAAAGCCAGATCTGTAAAATGAAGGTGCATGCAAAACTCAAGCTCTGGAACAATACCAAAGTAAAGAATCTGGTGAATAACCAGAAATTTCTGCTGGAGTTTACAGTCAGTGAATGCAAGGGAAAAAAAAATTTTGGGGGAGAGAAAACATGCATGCTGTAAAAACTCCGACAGCGAGCACAACAGAGCTTCAGATCATCAGAAGTAGTTTCCTTTCCCCATTTTTTTTTGTCATCATCATCAAGTGCCTTGCCAGCTGGCGTGGGCGTTCATGTGTCGCCACAGATCTTGGTCTTTGGCGTTCTGGATCAATTCCACTGATGATATTCCTCCATGCCATTGTCTTAAGCCATCCACCATCGTTTCTCTGGGTCTGCCTCTGCTACCAGTGATCTTTCCAGTCATCACGACATTTACCAGTGCTCCTTTTCTCACTACATGACCATAGAACTTTATTTGTCTCCTTCTCATTGTTCTACTTTTATTAGCCATTTCCAGGCATTCAATGTTAGTTATTCTGGCAGTCCAAAGTGCATTTATAAAATAGCCAGGTGTACAATATATAGGACTGATTGACAGCAATAAAATAGGTTCACTTTACCAGACGTACATTAACGACAGTTGGGCCAGAAAAAACTAATGGCAAATGTCGTCAGTACACATACATATAGGAGCTCGCTCGCTGACCCTCACACATATTTGCAATGCTATTTTGTCCTCAAAGAAAATTTAAAATGTTTCTTACCATAAAAATTTTATACACGCAGTATATGGAGAAAAAATACCCAAGAAAATTAAAGTAGCGGCCCTTGAATGTCTTTGAATACTCGATTCTGTCCTGGGTTAAAAAAACAACAGAAAAACTCAGGAACATAACCAAGGTTACAAACATTTGTGTGACAGCTTTATGATATTGACATGTACATTGAGAGGCTCACAGAATCATAATATCATTGTACACTATATATCTTCTTCCCTATCATCATCGTCGGCTCTGTGGCTAAGTCAATGCGAACGTTTTGTAATGCCGGGGTGCCGGGTTCGATCCCAGCTGTGGGCCATGTGCCTTGCTTTGGTTTCGACAGCGGTATAAAAAAAAAGCCGACCGTCCAGAAAGCAATGGCAAACTACTGGACATAAATTGTCTAGAAAAACTACACAACAGCCAGGGCCTGTTGGGGTTGGTTCTACAATGTCCTGTAAAGGATACGCAACTAACCTCTCTATCATTTTTATGTTGCAGAATGCCGCGTTTATCACAGCATATAAATAAAATGATTAAAAAAAACACACACTTGGTTCAGAACAACCTCCCAGTCTTGTGAACTCTCATGCTCAGGGTGTTTTCTATGTGTTGGCTCCGAGATCCCATTTGAGACAGAGGGGTGTTAGGGGGGGGGGGTGGGGGGGGAATAATAGACCCACTAACCCTAAAAAACAATCTGTAAAATGTGATTAATTAAAAGTCTGTTGAAATCGGATTTGTTACGCACAGATATCAGGACCTAGCTGTAGACCACAATGCTGAAGAAGTTTTCTCCAAACTACTATGGCGTTTACCGAAGTATTTACGCACATATTTTTTATCTATGTGTGTGTGTGTGTGTGTGTGTGTGTGTGTGTGTAGAAGCACAAATAATATATAAATGCTTGTGTGTGTGGGTGCACATGAAGTGAAGCTTGTATGTGACAGAATCATTGAGACTACCAAGACATTCCATACAACATGGTCTTGCCCCCAGCTATGAGAAATGTGTCTTTTCTGGCCTTTATTCCCTCAAGGAGCACATGCCCTTAACCAACTCAGTTCAGATCATCCTTTCTTTTGTATTGTCATTCTTCTCACTCCATGTCCTTCTCATCTTTTTAAATTCATTCTCTAGAGTTTTTTTGTGTGTGTTTATCTTTATTCCTATGCCCGTGTGTGTTCCAGTGCAACGATATTCTAGTTATATTGTTCTAAGGTTTTTCTCGAAGTGTGTCCTTCCAATGCCAGAGGCCTTTCTTCACCCCTTGATTCAACAGAATTTGTTTAGTTCTCTCCCAAAGCTCGCCATTAGTGATTCTATCATGCCATTCAATTCCTACATTCCACGCAGTCACCAGCTAATGAACGCTTGTAATTTATTGGTAACTGTTTTAACTCTTCACATTTAAGAAATGTGTACATGTTTCATAATTTCCACACACACAACTCGGGCACTCATTCCATGGACATAATTTAACTACAGTATGAGAGCAAACGGAAGAATACCAGTCTTTTCTGCTTCATGGTTTCTGGTCATTATCTTTGAAAATCCATGAACTCTGCAATTTTGTGGCTCCCTGTTACTTCAGTTCATGCTATGACGTTAAAAATGTATTTTTAAAAAAAACTTTAAAAAAAATACTTTTTTACAACTTCAGGTGTATTAGGCACCTAGAGCAAGACCCACATTTTAGAGACCAATCGACACTGGGTGGATAATGTGGTCAATACCATGCTAACCACCTTTACTTCCCAGGACCAAGAAAGTCTCAACACGTGGGCTCGCTGGGCACTTGTCCAGGAGCTCTGAGAGCTTGAGGCCCCAAGCTGATCTGTAAATGTTACGTGACCAGCCATACAAGAAGTTTATAGTAATTTCATACTGTGCTGTCTAATCTGTGTTTATAATTTAAAATCAGTTTTGTTGTAAAATAAATGTATGTTTAAAATTATCGACCATTTACATCTTATTCATGTGAGTGGTTTTCATAGGGGCCCCAGCAGACTGGTATACCTGGGGGCTTCAGCACACTGGTTAACTCGAGGGCACATAATGTCATTAAGACGGCCCTTAAGTCTGGCCGCTACTCCAAGGCAACTCATGCTATGATGGCCACTTGTAATTGGTTTACTGTCGGATTTGAATGGCAGAATCCCTATGTGGGTTTCAGGCCCTAACTGCAGCAAAAATAGAACGGACCCACTGCCCCCAACAAGCATGTCATAAAAGTCAGCTAATAAGGAGTTTGCTTCTTCTTCTTCTTTCGTTCGCCTGAAATAAGTTTATATCAACAATTTTGTCTCTTGTATAAATTTCACTGTTGTTGTTAATTCATTCAGTGGTTCATAGAGTTTACATTCCACTGTTGTTCTTTCTAGCCAAAAGGTTTGCCTTAATGTGTCAAATTCGGTGCAGTCCTGGAGTAAATGCTCCGCTGTCTGGGGCACCTTTCCACAGGTGCATATGGCTGATAAGCCTATCTTGAATTTTGTGTACATGTGGTTACGTAATCGGTTGTGCCCTGTTCTGATGAGGAGGATAATGACTTGTTCTGATCTTTCCATAATAAAATAGTCGTTTGGTGCTGGGGCTGGTGGTTTCCTGATTGATTCTTTTCTTTTGGTGGTATGTGACTGGTACATCCGGCTGCACTTTTGTCGCACCTTCTCCTGCCAGTTAATCAGCTTTCTCATTCCCAGGCACTCCACAATGTGATGGTATCCACTGCATTACAACTCTTCGCTGAAGGCTAAGTTGTGTCAGCAGTGTTTGCAATTCTGGTAGTTTCCTAGACTGGAGTGCTTCAAGTACTGATTTTGCATCTGTCAGCATTACTACATACTGTGAGCCAAGATTAGTACTTAGCAGTTTCTCTGTTGCTATTTTGATAGCCTGAGTTTCTGCATCATAGTTATGGCAGTACTTTCCGGTTGGTATGCTGGACTTATCCCTAGTACCATCTGGGAATTCTATGTATACTCCAGCACCACCATTTCTAACTGCACTTTCTGCGGACCCATCTGTAAAGACTCTGACCCATTGTTCTTGTGGGTATTCTTCATCAATATAACTGAGGGTGGCCATTCTGTGTTGTACACTATCTTGCTCTTTCTTGTCAAATATTCCTTTCATATTTGTCTGGAATTGTACTGTTAGTTTGCATTTCTCTCTCCATGGGGTTTGTTCAGGAATACTGTTAAGTGGACAACCAATTTCTGGAAGGTCAGCAGTTTGTCTGCATATTCTTTTTGCTTGATGTATAAAGCTGCTTCTTTTTAACCGTCCCAAAGCTAGGTTCTGAAATCTAATTTTCATGGGGTGATCTGGCATACTAAGAAACTTTTCAGCTTGTATTTGCAACTCTGTATCTCTGCATTCTCTCAGTGCCTGTGTTTTCCCGGCTTTCTCCATTTCTAATATGGGGGTTGATTTCATTCCTCCTGTGATGACTCTGAGTGCTTGATTTTGCACTTCGTCCAACTCCTTTAATGTGGTACTAGATGCTGAACACCATGCAGTTGACTCATATTCCAAGTGTGGTTGTATGCTCTGCTTGTTTACTTTATTGAGTATTTTCCCACTGGCTCCCCATGTGGTTCCACTTAGTTTTCTTAGTATGGCTGTCTTCCTCCTGGCTTTGGTTGCTGCCTTATTGATATGTTTTTTCAATGTCAACCTGTCATCAAATGTGACTCCGAGGTACGTGGGCTCTTTATCATCTCTTAGGGGTATTTAATTTATTTTGATGATGCCTGCTTTTTGCTTTGGGGAGAGAGTGAAGAGTGTGGTGCTACATTTGTCTGTATTGATGCTGACACACCATCTATTCGCCTATGCCTCAAGTGCATATGTAGCCCGCTGTAGTGTTCTTGTGGCTATCGTTGCATGTTCATCGGTGCACCACAGTACCAGGTCGTCAGCATACATTGCCATTTTGATTCAATTTGGTATTTCAGCAACCAGGTCGTTTGCTGAAATTGGAGGGGTTGGGCTTAAAGGCATAGATATTGCAGCCTAGCTGTAAACTACAACACAATGTGCCAACAATCCTTTAAAGGGTGGATACAGAATAATAATAATAATAATAAAAATGGCAGAAGAGGCAAGTGGGTGAGTTTAACAAGCAAAAAGCCCACTGGTGCCCACAAAGAGATACAGTGTCTACAAGTATTTATATGCAACATTTATGATCAAAATCACTACACCAATGCCATAGAAACAACTTTAAATTAGAAGCTCACCCTGGCATCATGTAAGTCTGCAGTTTCTAAAAACAGCTGGCGACTGAGTTCCTCTGCTGCTCGGATTTCTTGCTTCAGAGGTCCCAGGTATTTAAAACAATGTCAAGGACAGTGATACTAAATGTTAACAAGTAAAAATATTATGGCCAAACCAAATGTGATAAGCACGGCTAGAGATGTTAACTTTAGTTTATTACTCTTAACTTCTTCAACATTATCTAGATTTCCAATCAATGTGGTGTATAATCAGGCTTTCTGGTTTTTAGTCATTGCAAGTTTTGCTTCAGACAGTTAGCCTTTGCATTTTCCCTCATATGTGGACTGAAAGGATAAAGTTCTGTCACCTATCTACTAAGAAGAGTGCACAGTAAAACACTGTAAGCTGCAAATTTATTTGAGAATGCTTTTCAACTGTATCCAACTCGGTTTGTGTTGTGAACATCAGATACAGAAAATGGTAAGCAGCCTGTTGCCAGAGAACTGATGGTCCCTTATGCAGTTAACTGCGAGTGCAACTACTGATTTTTATTACAATGTGTCTGTGTTGGAAGCGACTAGAAGAGCAAAAACCAGAATCTTTTATCTCCCTCGACACTCAAAGCAGTAAAAGAGGAGGTAAAGAAGAAGAAACAGCATAACATTTACCAGTTGACCAAATGAGTGCCGAGTGGTCTATAAAATTATATAACCAATACATATTGGGATATACTGATTTAGCAATTCCTTGACATTAACGTACAAAATATAATAATGGTCAAAGGTAAATGAGCAAAAGGTAGACAAAAAAAAAACAAGTGGGAAGTTAACATCTAGAAATGGAAAAACAGTACATTCCACTGAATGAGACAGAACCAACCAGCTATACAAGGATACTTTCTGTGGCACTAACACTTGTGGCAGCACTCTTGAGAAGTCCCCAGATTCCTTTAGTTGGAGTAGTCAAACTGGCACGCCTCAGACTGTCTCGCTCTGCCAGGGCAATCCTGTGGGCATATGGAACATTGCCAATGACAAGGATACAATCATTGATGATGACTGATTTAAGAATCAACCATACCCACAGATGCTCCACCATGAGCAACAATGTCTTAAGGCATGGCTATTCAACTGGCAGCCTGAGGAACAAATCTGGCCTCCCAATGCCTTCCAAGTGGCTTGCAGATCACAGCCAATTGTATTGTATTAATGATCTTTCTATGTTAGGGCTTAGGCCTATGGCCCTTGACGATCCCCATTTTCAATATTTTGGCCCCTGATTAAACTTAGTTGAATGCTGCACACTGGTTGTCTTGTTGAAAGTCATTGGTTGCATGATGACTAGATGCTGGACTGTTTCAAAGTGCACAATGTGTGAAGTCATGGTAGCTGTTGCATTGATCTTTCCTGCTTTAGCACCATGTTGGCAGTCATGTAGCTGTTTGGGGACTTTAGAAGATGCTGTAGGTTCAGAGGCGTAGCATGTTGGCTAGATGCTGGCTGTTTCAGAGTAGCACACTGGTTGTACTGAAGTCATGGTAGCATGATGGCTAGATGCCGGTCTGTAGCTTTTGGGTTCCAATTCAAATTAGGGAAGGTTTTATTAAAAAATTAGGTTGACCCTGCCTAAAAAGGGTTCCAGAAAATGTCCCAAAGAAGTAATGATGCTGATCACATCACCCATTGAGTGCTCAGTGGTTTACAAAAGTATGAGGCTGCCATCATATACCAGATGTGCCACTGGCAGGAAAAGGGTGCTATACTTGACAGATTGTACACATGTCATACTCTTCTTCTCATACACCCTCTCTCCTTGTGTGGGTTCTGGGGCGCCCATTGGGGGTGGGGGGGGGTGGAACAAGAATAGACCCACTGCCTCCCACAACAAGCATGTCATATGAGTCGACTAACTGGGGAGCATCTTTTGTAGTGGGAGTATATCTGCCTGAGAGGCAAGGAATCAAAAGTCTGCACATAAACAAGCCTGATCCCCCCCAAAAATTGATGTGCAGGCAACACTCAAGTTCTGAAACAAGACCAAAGTCCAGAGGTGGATGAAAGCCCAGAACTTTCCACAGGAGTTTACAGTGTGATAATGTACTGTCTGTGGGACAGCAACTTACTGCCCTGTGAGATAATATACTGTCTGTGGGACAGCAACTTACTGTCCTATGTGAAAACATACTGTCTGTGGGACAACAACTTACTGTCCTGTGTGATAATATACTGTCTGTGGGACAGTCACTTACGGTCTTATGTGAAAACATACTGTCTGTGTGACAACAACTTACTGTCCTACGTAAAAACATACTGTCTGTAGGACAACAACTTATTGTCCTGTGTGATAACATACTATCTGTGGACAACAACTTACTGTCCTGTGTGATAATATACTGTCTGTGGGACAGCCACTTACTGTCTTAAGTGAAAACATACTGTCTGTGGGACAGCAACTTACTATCCTGTGAGATAAAATACTGTCTGTGGGTCAACAACTTACTGCCCGTGTCCACATAATGCCTGTGGGACAACTCACTTTTTTTTCTTGGTGATGATCCTGTCCAGGGTTTGGAGAAGGCGTCTCTCTAAACTCTGAATGTCTGCCTCTGTGACATGCCTGTTACAGGTACAAGGTTCCACATTAGTTAGTTAAAAACTGATGACAGTTTTAACTTCGGACAGCAAGAACTTTCAACAGTTGTAAGTTCAGATAGTAACTACTAGTAACAATTAAAACAGATGAAACCATAGACAGTTTTGTTGGATGGCCATTATCTTAGACAGCTACAACTTCAGGTGGTCTGACAGCAGACCAATTAGTGTTGATCTTGACAGTGATATTGAGATCTGATGCTTCAGAGCAACTGCAACCTACCGAAAGTAACACTGCCTAGTAAAGATCAGACAGCTGAAAGAAGCTGGGGTTCTTTCTGCAACGTCCTGTAAAGGATTAGCAACTAACTAACTCAGGCAAGTGCACTGTGCTGAATAATAAACCGGATCTCACATGATCTCTCATCAACTGTCAAGTTCAAGCACCACTCTGCTGGCTTCTGAGCTTGGAGAGGGGAAAGACAGCTCTGCAGCACAATACTCAAAGAGACGGCACATTAGTAGTGGATTTGGAGAAAGGTCTCTACATCAACCTCATCTGAAGCAATGTAGCAGATTTCAGAGTTAAAATGACCCAAACATCAATGTATCAAACTCAAGGCCTCTAGGGGAATTGACCAGCCAACGATCCACACACACATAGTACTCTAAATGATGTGTAAAAAATATTAAAAATTAAATTACTAAAATTTACTATTAACTATTACAAAGATGAAATAATAAAGATGTTTTCAAAAAAATTAACTCACAAAGAGAATTGACTGCCCACATCAGATCGAGATAATACACATTGTTTGGTCATGTAATCAGGAGGAGAAAATTGCAATACATCACGACAGTGGGAAAGCTAGAGGGGAAGAGAGACAGAGGAAGGCTGAAAGAGAAGATTCTGAACAGTTTTTAAGCATGGTATGGAAGACCATCTGTGTCGGAAATTGTTTAAAGCACAGAAGATAAAAGGCTGTGGATAGACATGACTAGCAACACCTTATGGCAATGACTATAAGAGAAGAAGACGATGATAAATTATTAAAATAAGAAAAGCACTGTTTATACCAGTGTTAGTCATACTTTTATTTAGGTTGGGGCACCGTGGAAACATTTTTTTAATGAAAAAAAGGCTCCGCGGCTAAGAAAAGTTTGGGAAACACTGGTTTATACTAATTTTTAAAAGCATAATTATACAACAGGTAGCAATGTCTTTCGATGGCTGCTGCATGGGCAGACTGAGAATACAAGGGAATGTCCAATGTGCCGTGATGTCAACTGTGATAACATAACATAAGAGCAGATACTCTGCACAATGTCCCTTCTTTCAAAGACCCACACAAAAGGCCTCTCTGTCCCATGCTATTTCCCACACCTTATGTATTCTTATACAAAGGTATCCCCATTTTCCTCAGCCCACCTGTGCGCTGGTCAACTATTTAAAAGTCTCTTCTGTTACTGTTCTATCTCATCCAGTTCATAATTCAGCACAACAAACTGTGTGAAGCTCTAACTATTTGAAGTTGCTGTTGTCTAAGATTATTTCCACCCAATAAAACAGTCTCTAATTTAATCTTGTTTAATTAGTGCTAGCTGTCGCTATTGTCAAGTCTATTTTTCTTCTATGGACCACATCTTCTTTTATTGCTCTTTCTAAACCATTAGTGTTTAATATGGTCAAAGCATTTCAGTTCTGAAGACATAATAATCGTGTTCTTGTGTGTTAATTTTTAGAATTTCAGTATTAAAAAAATACAAGTTTTTTCTTTCTGCAATATTTTAATCAAAAAAACCTCAATTTTCCTTAATCAGGTGCCACCTCTACAACAAAGGCTGGTTGCAAATATTGCAAACACACTTTGCCATTTTCCCTGGATGTATACTCTCAGACTGCTGTTCATTCACCTCTTAATTTTATCCTGCCACTTGTATCACTGTCTGCCTCTTGCTCGCTTGCCTTCAATTTTCTACTCTCTTCAGTCATAAAAACAATATAACATTTGAACATAACCACAATAATAACAACACTAACTATTAAAACAAGAAATGATCACATACCTGATGAAGTATGACATGTATGTGTAAGGGCAGTTAACCGCACCAAACCCAGACAAAATTGCCATTAGAGTTACCCCAATGACTCCGACACGACCGATGCATTGTTCGATAGAGAAGATACCTACAAAAAAAAAAAGCTTCTTGGTGAGTAGCTGGTCGCCGAAAGGTTAGCACACAGTAACCACACACTATGAGAACTAGTAACAATCACTGCCAAGGATAGGGATGTGTACCTATTTGCAGTGAAATAAAAACCTTAACCTAATCATTCAGTACAGGTAAATTTGTGGGTAACTTCCTAGTACTCTAACTCTGTTTTTTGCACCCTCTCTTGGTAAGATTCTTTGCATTTTCATTGTGACTGTGAGGTTACATTTTTCTTCAAGGATGTCTGCTTTTGTCAGTCTGCCAGCCTGTACAGATCCTGCAGTGCAGGTGGCCAGAAATTAATTACAGTGTCACTGTGTTGCTGAAAGCAGATGTCTCGATGTTCCATTGGTGTTCTTGCAAGGTGTTTCTCAGTCTGTATAACTGTCATACAGTCACCTAAAAAGAATGGAGCATTCAAACAAAAGCTGGTATAGTTAAAAATCAACTAAGACATTATTAATACAATCTAGTATCCAAGAAAGGGGCTTGAAACACAATAAATTCTCTCTTCAGACTAAGGACAGGGCACAAGAGACTTTTCACGGTAGGAAACACAGAGACATGTCTTTGTAGTGTGGCACCAGAAAATTCTGAGCATTTGCTCCAACACTGTCAACTGTATGCTGACAACAAAGATGAAATCTGGTCTGTTCCAACCACAATGAAGACAAAGATGTATGGTACATGAAGAGATATGGACTTCAAGACAGCTTTCATAAAGGCTTCTGGCCTCCTGATATGTTTTCTAACCGAAGGATAGAGAAGAAGTTGAAAATCTCAAATTTACAAAATCATTCAAACAAAGACATATGTAGTGAAACACCACAGACTTACCATAGCATTCAACTGAAGACATGTAGTAAAATTTCAACTGACTTACCATGCTTTGGACTGAGTATTGGGAAAGGGTCTCCAACTCTCCAAAACAGATAAAGAGTCAGGCACCATGCTCCGACGGTGACCAAAATTCTGAAGTGCCACTTCTGGGGAACTGAACAAACTAGTTATTATATTTTGATGGCTATGATTACTAAAAAAAAACCTAGACTAAAAGGTGTATTTATTTATAAAAGTGATGTGGCTTTTACATTAAATGTAGTGAAACGTGACCTGTTTTTACATTATAACTGAGAAGTTGAACAGCATTCACATGTGATGCCTAAAAAGAATGTTCATTCTTTTTTTTCTGTCCATATCTGGTGTGTGCCATTAAGCATTGCAGTTTAACTGATGATAGGTTACCAAGCTAACATGCACTCGGTTGCTTGGATATTGTGATGTAGTAAAGTCTCAGGCTGTCAGTGACTCACTCAGTTCATTTTATTTTAGGCCTTTCTCTGCCTCTTGAGACCACGGCGTCAGTAGCCTAGGCGGTGGGAGTCCGACAAGCAATTCCAACCTACAGTGATCGAAACCCAGTGCTTACTGAGTAGATTATTATCATTGTATGGGGCGTCACAGGTCGACCCAGCCTAAAATGGGTAAAAGGATGGATGTCCTGGGAAAATAAAGGCGTAATGCTGACCACATTACCCACCTAGTGCCGATGGTCTGTAAAAAATATGGCCGCTCTTCAAATACACCCAACACGTCTAAAAAAGGTGTGAAAAGGGATCTTTATTTTTTTTTCAAACTGCCTCTTGATGTTTCCAATTTTTATCTTGTACACACTCACTGCAGGCATAGATGGATTAATTCTCACTATGGCCAGAGTATTTCTATCAATGCCTCTAAAAAAAATGACACAAAAAGAATACTAGGCTTAAAGTAGCGAAGCAAGGTCTGAGACACACTGAGATACTCGAAAGTGCAGGTAACAAGTTCTCTCAATGCTCAGTCTTTGAAGGCTCAGATGGCTAGGGTACACTTGAATGGTGGCACTGTCTCCAAGGCCATCTCCTATGGTGAATTACAGATGGGCAGGGGATGTAGTGGTCGGCCTTGACTATGATATTGAGACGTGTGTAAGTGGGACATGAATAACAGAGGAATTGAGGTGGCTTCATGGAAACAGGATGCACACATCTTTACATCCTAGCAGAGGTCCAACTTGACATCTTCTACACAAATCTGTGAATTTATTCTCAAATTATTCCACTGGTCTTAATGGTTCTATACAAATCACCATTATTTCTTTATCATCATCATCATCATGTAGCAGGTCCTTTGCAGAATGTCGCTCTCATCATGGTCTGCCTGAAAGAAACTCGGTCTCTCGCCAGCTCTCCCACCTCATGTACTTTCATACTCAAGGAATCACTTACATCTATCCTGTGCGTAGCTTTGTGTCGGTCGGCCCCTGCCCCTCCTTCCTGGTACCATGCCTTCTGCTATTATTTTTTCAAATTCGCCATGGCGTTTGATATGACCAAAATATTTCAGCTTTCCAGAAAGGAAGCTGTTTATTAGCTAATCTTCCTTGATGTTCAGATCTGTCAAAATGTCAGTATTTCTCCTCTTCTTTATCTAAGATATTCTGAGAATCTTTCTAAAGCATTTCAACTCAAAACCCCCTATTCTGTTTCTTAAAGACTGGGAGAAAGTCCATGATTCACATCCTTATGTTGCTTCAGGGAAGATGCATGCTCTCAAAATTCTTATTTTGATCTCCTAGCTGGTGCTTAACCAAAGACTTTTAAGGCTGTCTAATCTTTGCATTGCTTTGGCCATCCTTCTTTTAATTTCTATCAAACAGTCTCTATTGCTATTTATTATAGAGACTAGATATTCAAAGTTTGTGACATTTTCAATGTCAATTATTTCACATTATTTCTTTATACTATCTAAAAAACATATAAGCTCAACATAAACTTACCCAGACGTATATTTTGTATCAGGTAGTAAGCAATATAGAATGGCAAAACTGCAATCAGCACAAATAAGATTGCATACAGCCCCAGTTTCCAATGAAAGAATCGGGAGCTGAAAAAAACACACCACACAAACAAAATAATTCATAACTAAATAGCTCCACAACTAATGAGTTGAGATCACACAAACAGGTCAAGTCCCATCAAGAGGAAAAAACCTACGCTCTGAAATTTTTAAAAATCGCTAATTACCATACACCGAAAAGGCAATTTCTTATGGGCCTGAGCTGTGACAGTAGAAATGAAGAATCCTACAATGTGCAAAAAAAAAAAGAAAAAAAGAGCACATGGTAAATGCCAAACTTTCGTTGTAACACTTTCAATGTGAGTACTTGATGATATAGACATTGTTATCATTATATGCTATGCCAGGATGAGTCATTTTGATTTGCCATCTTGCATGATACGAGTCTAAAAAATGGCAGCATTTTTTTTAGTTTATTATGTAATTTGGCAGGTATTCATATTCGTCTTTATGTATGGTTGTGATGTTTCTGTTGAACAACTGACAAGCATCTATGAAAGTCATATGTGGTTTATAAGTGGAAACAGTTAAATCACAGGTTGTTCACGCTCATCAATACTTCAGAGCTTATCATTTGATAACAACCAATAATGATTTAAGGTAATTTTAAATGGTGGAAGAGAGTTGCACCATGGAAGAGATTGGGGCCTTACAATGAAATATTCCCACAGTTAGCAGTGGATATATTGCAGCCAACCTCCACCCAATGTGGAGACGGCACAATTCTTTTTTTTTTTAAATCAGGAGATAGCAGCTCATAATGACAGTAACATCAACAGATAACGACTAATTATGACAGTAAACTACCACTAACATTAAAAGATAACAACCAATAATAACAGTAGCCTACTGATAACACTGACAGACAATGGTCAACAAAAATAAGAAGAAAACAGTACCTGGATTCCATGACTCCAAGAATTTCAAATATGATCAGTTCAAACATAATGCATGACAGGGCAAAGGTTACGGAGAACACCAGCAAGACGACAGAGTGGTGAACCTGCGAACATTTAAAAAATAATTATTAATCTTGAAAAAGTGAGCTATAGTATTGTAGCAGCTAGTTACTCACCTAAAAGGATCCTTTTCCATGCCTTTCAAGCTTACTGGGTATATAGGGCTAGACCTATTTTTTATAGACTAAACGGCACTTGGTGGGTGATGTGGTCAGCATCGTGCCAGCTGCCTTTACTTCCCAGGACTATATCTGGTACTCACTCAAGGCTGGGTCGACCTGGCAGCCAAGGTAATTTAGAAAAAAAAATCAGGCCCTCGTCTGGAACCAAAACCACGACCTTCCGATCCGCCAGCATCTAGCAGCTAGACCATGGCTGCTCCCTGTTATTTACCAGCCAGCCCAAAAGTCTTAGGTTCAAATCTGCATGGTCACAATTTTCCATAAATTACTTTACGTCCTTGCTTGCCCCAGCCTAAAATGGGTACCAGTGTGTTGGGAAATGAGCAGGCAGATAGAATAGTTGGTTTGGCACCCCCTGGTGGTGAACTGATGTATGAGAAGCTAGGTGTTATAAGGGCCCTTTGGAAGCGAGAGAACAGTGCGGCGGCACAAACAGATCACTGTGGTCTGAGAAGAATGGTACTGCAAGGAGTTACTAGGATCTGTGTTGAGAGGCAGACAAAGTGCATTTGGTTTACCCAAAAGCGGATGGACGTAGCTTAGTGCAGTAAAGCTTGGCATATGTTATCACAACGTCTAGTTTCAGAATGGAGGTGGGGGCAGTCATGGCTGCCTTCGGCTGGCTTCAAAATCAGCTGAACACACATATCCTAATTGTAACTAACTCACAGAGCATGTTCAGAAAGGGGGAGACAGGCATGCTCCGTGCAGAGTGGCAAGCATTGCTTCAGACGCCCCGGGTAGTCAGTGTCATTTGAATTCTTTCTCCAGGTCATGTTGGTGTGTTGGGAAATGAGCAGGCAGATAGAATAGCTGGTTCTGCACCCCCTGGTGGTGAACTGATGTATGAGAAGCTACTTGTAAGGGCCCTTTGGAAGCGAGAGAACAGTGCGGAGGCACAAACAGATCACTGAGGTCTGAGGAGAATGGCACTGCGAGGAGTTACCAGGGGATCTGGCCGACGGTCAACACTCAAAGAAAATGCAAGAAAGATAAACAATCAGACACTGGTGCCAATGGAATTAGAACACTGCTTACTGCTGAGGATAGGGACAGCGCTGTTATGGGAATGTCCCAAGTGCCATGATGTGGATTCTTAATTCAACATTCAACTTTATCTTTGTCATGGGTCATATTGGTGTTAGTGGCAATGAAAGTGCTGATACACTGGCTGGCTGATATACCGTTGTGACAGACGGCTATTCTATGGAATGGACTGACACTATTAACCCATTCGCCTCGTAAAAATCTTTAAAAATGACTTTTTTGAAAAACAGGTGCATTGTTTTAATATTTTGAAAAAATCGAACCTAAGAAAATAGAGGAAGAGAAAAAGAAGCAGAAGAAATGTTGAGTCTTGATCCATTTTTATAGAAAACTCAGGGAACTGAAACCTTTGATCACTGAGCAGACAGGCATGTATGTGGCATCACAGCAATAATGGCACAACAAGATGATGATGATGATAACAGTTAAAACTGGTGTAGATTATTATCACATACTTCATAGTCCCTGTACAACTGCTTGAGAAAAAATATCCATCCACCTCCAAAAAATAGTACCTGAAAAAAAAAGATTTTATTTTAAAAAGAATTTTTTCTATGCAGCTCATTATTAACATGAAAGAAAAACTTCACTCTTTCTGTTGTCTAGTCTTCAACAGATTTACAGATTTTGTTTACTTTAATCATCCTCATCATGGCCTAGGAATTTAACGTCCTGGCCCTTGGTTAAAGTAAAGTTTCTGCTTCCGCACCTTAACTCTTTCTGTACCAAAGAATGCATCATGAAGGATTAGCTACTAATTCATTGTATCAAGAAACACATTGTGTGTTAACATAGGATGTACTTTTGGTTTCAACATACTTAAAAAATCTGACACAGTACATGCCTGTTCCTGCGACTCAAATTATTACTTCCTGTGTGGGTTCCAGTGCCCCATGCTGGGAAAACTAAGAACAGACCCACTGTATCCTTAACAAGAATGTCTTAAGAGTCGACTAGCTGGGAGTTTTCTTCAAAGTTGCAGTGCATCTACCTGATAGGCAAGGAACCGACAATCTGCATACAAATAAGTCAGACATGTAACTGATGTGCACACAACACTCATGATCTGGAACAAGACTAAAGTTCACAAGTGGACGAACAAACAGAATCTTCCGCCAGAGTTTACAGCTGATAAATGCAAAGACAGCAGTGGATGCATGAAGCCAACCTTCTTTGCTGAGATGGCACACATTTTAAAAATATTTTAATTTGGGTAAACCTGGCAGCTTAGATGTTGGCAGCAAGGAAAGTCTACCCCATTATATATCCCTACAAACTCAAAAGAGAAGCCGAAAAAAAAAACATCTCAAAGATCTGACTGATGGTAAGCCCTCTGCCAGGCTGGTCATATCTGCAAACTGTAGAAGAGAGCAATAGCAGAGCTGGTAATAGCTTCTTAGAATACCATGGACCAAGAGGAAGAAAAACGCAACAATCCTACATGATCTGAGCATAGAGGAAAATTGGCTCATACACAGCATCCTGTCCTGAAAGCTCAAGTAATTTGATCATGTTAAACGTCGTGGTGGCGGGGAGAGAATGGGGATAAAGGGTATATAATTTTTGGAAAATTAAGTAGAGGCAGACCTTAGCAAATCGTGGATACCGACACTAAAGATATACTGGCTATGAAAGCACACAGAGCTGGAGAATTGGCTTGAGAAAGAGAGACTTTCAGGCGTGCTGTGACAAGAGCGATGTTCTGTAAAAGACCTGCTGATTAATGATGAGACTTGGAGCTCTGATAAACTTTCAAAATCTGTCTAAATGGGGATTTTAACTCATAACCACAGGCTGGCAGGCAAGAGTGCTAACCAGTGTAAAACTGTTGCTCCTGGTCTTTGTTTTCGTTCTCTGATTTGACCAACCAGCATCATCTCTTTCAGCTTGTCACTGCCTCTTCTAGCAATGATCTTTTCAATCAACAAATTGGTTGCAAACGCCTCAAATAAACAAACTTTTTTTTTCAAAGGGTCAATATTCTGAAGGTAGGTTCGGCTTACATTCTGCCATTCTGGCATCACTCTTTACATACATCAGTTAATTCATACATCATTTAACACCTAATAGTAATAATCATGATCAACAATATCCATCTCAAGTAAAAATAATGGAATGTGCACCAATTATACCTACATTTGTAAACAATAATCATGCTAAGCTGTGCTTTTTCCTTGAAAAACCAAGCCAGTGCTCATCACAAACTACTATCCAACACAGGTGCCAGTACTAACCACACAGTGTCTATTACAGCAGCACTTACAAAAAATATGCCTAACAAAAGTGCAGGTACTGCATAACTTCAGAAAAATTGTATTATTCTGTTCTAATTACATAAGCAATGTATTGTGTTTGCTTTTCTCTTCATACCTTCTTTACTAGCCTTTTGTTAGACTTTTATTATACTATACTCTATCCTAATTTTACGTTTCAATTAATAATTCGAAATTATGTCATTAAATTAACGTGCAAAATATTCAAGAACAATTATAAATACAATTTAACAATAATAATTTTTTACCAAGGAGAAGGTCATTAACAGTGAATCGACGAGGAAAGACATTGTTTATTTACAATCGGTCCCTCATCAACAAATCATCCAGCTAACAACGTCAGGTCTGCAGACGTCAATGTTTCGTTTTCTTGTGAAGTCGGATTCACATTTTACATAAACAATATTCTTTATGCTTTCTGTTGCTTCTTCGACACTTGCCAACAAAAGCGTAAAAAAACAGAGGGGTCACTTGGGCCGTAGAAACATCATATATTTAATAAACAGATAATGTATTGATTGGCACTCACAGAAAGAAGCAGAAAGAAAGCAGGACACACTATACAACATAGCATTGTTTTTAACAATTTAAAGCTATAGTTACCGTGCCAAGACCACATTATTAACACGTTAAACTCAGCATGTAGTAAATACAACATGAAGATCAATGTAAACAAAACCGAAAAAATGCAAGTTAGTAGAACCCCTGCCTCACTACACATACAGCTGAATGGTTCTGCCCTGAATCAAGTTATAGAGTTTAAATATCTAGGAAGTATGTTTACAGAAGATGGTAGAATTGACAGAGAAATAGAAACCAGATGTCAAAAAGCAAGTGCACTTATATACCAATTGTCACCATTATTAAGACATCCAAGAATAACTATGAGTGCAAATAAACAGATTATTAATAGCATATTCATTCCAACATGAAGCTACCAGTGCCAAACAGGGACACTATCAAAAGCCCATATACACAAAATAACCACCTGCGAGATAAGGTGCCCGAGAAAAGCAGCCAACCTAACCATACGAGATCGAGTGAATAATGAAACTATCAGGCAATTTGTGGGAACGACACCTTGTACTAGATTCATCGAGAAACAGCAGATCAAGTGGTTTGGCCATCTTGTTAGAATTCAGCAAGATCAAATACCATCACAAGCACTACATCTCAGAAGATCAACTACTAGAGCGAGAGGACGGCCGCGGAAAACATGGATCGACAATAGCCTGACAATAGCCAGTGGCAGCCAACGTGCACTGGATCGCAAATTATTCCTCCCCACGACGTTTATCTGCAGAAGTGGTTATGATGAAGATGAGTTACCGTGCCGGGAATTGAACCTGTCACCTCCAAATGACAAATGCGCTTCGCCATGGAAACAAGTATACTAAGCTCCATGACCAACGAGGCACCCCTAAAGATTTTATCTTCATTACAGAAAATGTATACCAGCAGCCCTTTAGCCTTTATGGAAGCTATCGCGAAGTCCATATCCCCTCATGTACCATACAGCTTTGTCTTCGTTTAGGTTCCTAATGAGAAGGCAAGGATCTTGACTCATCGGGATAAAGATTCGACATCACAGCGTCCAGGACAAGCCTATATTAAACCATTTTCCTTCCTCAACAGCCAGCGAAGTGTTTCCATATTGATGGCACCTGTTGTTATCTGTTTAACTATTCGTCTTGACCCCCCCCCTCCCTCCCCTCCCCGAGGTCTCGAGTAGCAACCAGAGCTTCCTGTTGCAGTAACAGGTTTTTAATATATTTCATTCTACTTGTTACCTCGTTCCACAGGCGAGAGATCACCCCTGCCATGTGGAGTTGCATTACACCCCCTATCTGCCTTTTTATTCACAAACACACCTACATAGCCCTAGCAAAATATTTTTGTTACTCGCACCACCTGCGACCTCTGGACTGAGGCGATCCATTCCATACCATGAAAATTTGACTCCACCTTCCTGAGCATGCTTTACGAATCTGTTACTATGACAACAAGTGATGAGATTTTCTCCACCCATCAGAACACCACAGTTACCGCCTCAACATCCATTCTCATGCTGGATGTGGCAGTGTCGTATGAAGCTTTCTTCAGTCGTAAACCTCCCCACATCCTTTTGCAGTGGAGCCTCATTAAAACTTTCTGACCCAAGCTACTGACCTATTAGTGAATATAAATGACATCTAGAGTTGTCCTTTATTAACTGTTGAGCCGCTACGTCTGCATTTCCCGTCGCTTCATTCTGGTTCCAATACAGTTACTACATTGTGCAGCTCTTCTCTGCCCTCTGGTACTTTAATCTTTTCTTTGTCTCAGCTCATCTCTCACTTTGGTGAGCTAACCTATCCTTACTGTTGTCAACACTGTTGATTGTCTGTTCAGCCTTGGTCATCCAATATCTGCCACTATTTATTCTGTCACCTTTCACGAAGTCCAACTCCATATGAAGGATATGTTCTGCATCAACTAGAGTAAGTTAGATTTAAAAAAAAATGAAGCAGATGCCTAAAGGCTATTGGGAAAATTTGCAAGCTTTTTCAACTCTAACGTCTATCGTACGCGCGAACGGCTTAATTAAATTTGCAAAAGTTTCAATGGGCAAAATTGTTTCGATTCACCAACATTTCGGTTTCCAAACGAAGTCACAGAAAAAAATGAAGTTTTTGACCCGAGTTACCACTGTACTTAATAAGTTGGCGTCTAAACATGGTTTGTGGAATCAGTTAGCCCTGATGTATAGTTAGTTTCTGGAGGGTAGGTGCTACCAGCATGGAAGGGAGGAGGCTCAAGAGGCCTGAGCCCTCACGTTACGTCGCCTTTTCACGGGGCTGGTGTAGCTGTTACAGGTGCCCCAATTATAGGTTCTTTGGAGGGTGAACAGGGGTATCTGGGAGTTGTTCTGTTAGTCTGCCATCCAGATTTAGATCTTATAATCTCAGTATGTCAAACCTTGATGGTAAAGCCACAATCGGGTGCCGTCGCAAAGCATAGGCTAGCTGGGCACTTATTCGGGGTCCAACAAGCACTGGGGTCCACTTGCTGATCTGTGTATAAAATAACTTGCCCTTGAAGTGTTCGTAGTAATTTCATATTGTGCCAACTAATCAGCATTCATGATTTAACATCAGTTTAGTTGAATTGCCAATATAATAAATATATGTTTAATATTATCAACCATTTACATTTAATTCCTGTGAGTGGTTGTTGCAGGGGCCGCAGCACACTGGTTTGTCCAGGGACTCATAACACCGTAAAGACGGCTCTGGCAGGGTGGGGGGGGGGGGGCGGCAGCACGGCCTTGGTTTGCGAGGGAAAGTGTTTTAGTCGTTTAATTCTACTCCGAACACCGGTGACTGGGTCGTCGCCCATTGCCTCGTTGGTAGACGACTTTGTCGCCGGTCAGGGCAGTATTTGGGTCTGTCTCCTTTGATCGCATCAATACTGCAGGAGCCCCCCCCCCCCCCGAAGCTATTGGTGGCGTGCAATGCCATGTCATTATTTGTAACGAACATAACCTAGTCACAGTTATAACCCAAAGCTCCTCCTGCGGGAACACTGGTTAAACGTGACGATTTTCCCCACAAGCAAAGCACCTATCTACTATGAACTTTGTGGAATTGATTAAGGACCTTCTTTGCGAGTGCAGGTCTTTCAGAGATTCATGTGACTAACATTTCAATTTCCAAGATAAGATGCTGTTAACTAGCCAATCTTCCTTGATATTCAGATCTTTTGAGATGTCAGTGTTTCTTATCTTCTTTGTCCATAGTATTCTGAGAATCTATAGCGTTTCAGCACTCAAGCCAATGTATCCTTCGGGACGGAGAGATAGTCCACTACTCATTGTCAGAGGCCAGTTCGGCTATGGGAAGCACCACAGATGATAGTGTATCATCACGTTTGTACTGAAGGTCAACTCGTACAAACGTGATGATACACTATCATCTGTGGTTCTTCCCATAGCCGAACTGGCCTCTGACACTTATGTCCGCATGTTGCTACTATAAAGGACCCTTTTCTACGCTTTCAGGTGTATTGGACATTTAAGGCTGGAAATAAATATTTTATAGACCAATCGGCACTCAGTGGGTGATATGGTCAACATCACGCTGACCGCTTTTACTTCCCATGACTACTCCTGGTACCCATTTAAAATAGCCCGTCTTCGTCATGACCTGAACCCACGACCTTCAGACTCGGAGTGGAACGTCTAGCGGCCACACCACTGTTGCTACTATACTGTAAGTAATAGGCTGACTGACAGGTTAGAAAAATAAATTAACAGAGGATTCAGCCCCGAGGTTCATTGTCCCTAGTACCAGCAGTAGTAATGACGAATGTCCATGCAGTGTGGTAAGCATGTTCAGCATCATCTTAAGCTGCTGCCTTCCTGATCTACATGTGGTCTTTATCGTTGCTTTTGTATCTGTGTTTGTCGTGTCTTTTATATTATTATAACATAACTGACTGATTGACTGACTTTCTACCCCACCAGGACATCACCCAAGCGATAAACACCCGATGACACAATGTGCCACCATGCGGGTGAGGATCACCGTGGAGAGGTCCCAGAAACCGCGTTCAGCCTTTAGGCCATATTTATGGCCAGGCTATATTGCGGCCCCTGGCAAAAGCTAGAGTAGGGCTTCAAAAAACGAAAACTTTCATCCTAAGAAGGACGAGAAGCATTTGTAATATATGTTACATAACCTCAATCTGTTGCATGAATAAACTAAATGTATAATCATTAGGTAAGTTACAAATAAATATTTCAAAAATAGTAATACATGAACAATAATTTCGCAAACCATTTTTATTTATTACAAAAACATCCTTTCACTCTTGCTTCTCAAAATAATCTCCAACAATATTAATATACTTATGCTGTATCAGCCCTTTCAAGCTGGTATCAAAGGAATATGAGCTCTGCTTTTGCAACCACATTTGCAATTCAAGTTCAATCTCTGCATAGTCGTCGGATAATTTTCCACCAAGGGACTTCATCTGCGAGTGTAGATAATATGCTGTTTACTAGCTAGTCTTCTTTGGTGTTCAGATTTTTTAGGATGTCAGCATTTGTTTTCTTCTTTGTTTATGGTATTCTGAGATTCTATAGCATTTCAGCACAAAAGCTCATAAATCCTTAGGGACGGCGAGATAGTCCACGACTCACATTTGTGTGTTGATACTACAGAAGACCCTTTTCGACGCTTTCCTGCACACTGGGCATATAACGCTAGACACAACTTATCAATATCATGTGGAACAGTCAGGACTTTGG